ACATTTTAACTATTACGCTTTCTTTGAAATCTTATCGGCTGTTGAGTCGGAGGTTATGCATTACGTGACAGCATAAAACGGGTTTCTGTTTCGTAAAATGTGCTAAAGACTGAAGGCGTTCTGATCAATAATATTAAGATAAAAGGAAGGAAAAAAGGTATGGTAATAAATGTTGCCTGCTTTCTCGTCTTTATGTAATGAGAAAAAAATAAAGTAAAGTAGAGAGTGGCTGGTCTGTTATCCAACAGGAGTGCTCACACACATACAGAACAAGACGCAAATTGGAATAAGCAGGAGCAAAGGACGTGTGAGTGGGAGCCACTAAGCCACTAATAGCGAAGGTCTGCCAGTCCTTGTTACATTACAAACCCATGATTAGAAAATTAAATGTATGTGTGGACTGAGCGGTTTTGTAAATGCATGCCAGATTGACACATTTTCCCTACAGCTATAAATAAGAGTATTATTTCTACTTGTAGTTTTTTCCCCTTGGATTCGAACGAGCATGCTTTCCGTTAGGACCCAAATAAATTTGTAACCGACTGCTATTCATTGGCTTGCTGAACGATTTTGTTTGTTTGTTCCTTTTTTATGTAGGTGTTTTACGCCCCCCCCCCCTCTTTCCACTCTCCCCCCATTGACACAGTTAAGATCATTCACGAGGTCTGTCAGGGGCATCCTGGGCTGAAAGAGATACAATGTCCCAGCAGAAAGACCGAGGCACTCCATAAAAATGCTCCCTACTCAGAAATCGTCTTCAAGTCTTCTGCGTGTGACTGTAAAGTGTCTAGTCGTTACCCCATAGACGTCAGTACGTTTGTAAAAATGTATGATGACCCAAAGCAGGACTAAAAGTACAATACATATTCAGATGAAATTACCATAGAGGGCCTCCTATTGTCGAGGGGAAAAGTGGCCGTATTAGACAGGTGACCGTCTTTGATAGTGCCACTATAATGTGAAAAGACGCAGGGGGAGAAATGGGAAGTGGGTGCTTGTAATAATA